CCTGTAGTCCCAGCTACTCGGGAGGCTGAGGCAGGAGGATCGCTTGAGCCCAGGAGTTTGAGGTTGCTGTGAGCTAGGCTGACGCCACGGGACTCTAGCCCAGGTGACAGAGTGAGACTTTGTCTCAAAAAAAAAAACAAAAAACAAAAAATAAAGGTACCAAGATCAGAGTGCTATAATAAGGTTGACTTAGTTAAGTACTAAAGAATATCTAGTCTTTTTATATGTCCCATGTCAAAAAGAAAGTTTTGGTTTCAAAAAGCAGAATGTATGTAAGCAAATACTTCGGCCACAATTCATGAAAATTGGAAAATGATACCTAAAAGTCAACCACATAATCTAATCTCTTGGAAATAAAAACAAATTTCCTAAATAACTATTGGGTAAAAGAGGAACTAGAAGTTGCCATTATAAATTATTTGATGGGGGAGAGTGGAGGACAATAAAAAGTGTACATCTCAAAATTCAGCATTGAGTGATTAGTCACTGGAGTCATATGGACTCCAGTATTAGAATTCTAGCACCAATGGTTATTAACTCTGTGACCTTGAGTAAGTTATTTTATTTTATTTTATTTTTTTGAGACAGAGTCTCACTCTCTTGCCTGGACTAGAGTGCCGTGGCGTCAGCCTAGCTCACAGCAACCTCAAACTCCCGGGCTCAAGTGATCCTTCTGTCTCAGCCTCCCGAATAGCTGGAACTACAGGCATGCGCCACCATGCCTGGCTAATTTTTTCTATATATTTTTAGTTGTCCAATTAATTTCTTTCTATTTTTAGTAGAGACGGGGTCTCGCTCTTGCTCAGGCTGGTTTTGAACTCCTGGGCTCAAACAATCCGCCCGCCTCGGCCTCCCAGAGAGCTAGGATTACAAGCGTGAGCCACCGCACCCGGCCTTGAGTAAGTTATTTGACTTCTCTGAGCTTTTTTTTCGTCTGTAAAATGATGGTAATATTATAACAACGCCTGCTTCATAGGCTTGAAGTGAAGATTACATAAAACTTACAGAGCACTTGTACTAACTCCCATGTAGCAATCACTCAGTAAATGTTAGCTATTATGGAATATAGCCAATGTTCTCAAAGGAAATTTATTATTTTTAAATGATTTATTTATTTATTCATTGGTTTATTTTTGAGACAGGGTCTCACTTTGTCACTGGGGCTAGAGTGGGCTAGAATGCAGTGGCGTCATCATCCCTGCAACCTCAAATTGCTGGGCTTAAGCGATCCTCCCAACTCAGCCTCCAAAAGTGCTAGGATTGATTACAGGCATGAGCCATGGTGCCAAGCCTAAATGCATGTTATTATTTAATAAGAAGATAAAAAGAAGTGTTCAACAGAAATGTTATCAGGGAGGAGGAAGGGAACTCAAGAAAAGCAAGAGAAAGGAATTAACAAAGATAAAAACTGAAAAAAATGACTTGGATAACAGAAAATCCATGCAATTTATAAATAAATTCAAGAGGAGAAACTAGGAAAGACCCATGAAATGAATCTCTGGCAAATCCAGGGAAATAAAAATGCAGAAGGCACATGCAAACACGACATTAGGACAAGCCCTCTGACAAGCACTCATACAGCTCTTTGCTGATGAGTTTGAAAATATTGGGCATTTGGCTCAGAAAATATAAACTACCAACATTGTCTTCCAAGTAATACCTGTATATGTTATATAACAAACCTGTATATATGATATAGTATCCATAATATGAAGACGTTGTGAAAAAAACAGCTCAGAAAAGATCCAATCCTGCCCTCAGCCACTTTGACTATGAGTGCTGGGGAAGGGGCGGAATGTATAAGCCCCTGTTGGGGCGCTGGGTGTCAAGAAACCTGGCCATTGGAATTTCTGTCAGTTACAACCTTTCTGGGCCTTGGGTTCTTCCTCTATAAAATAGGGATCATAATCCCTATTCAGGACATCCCACTGAATGTTTGTTGTTGAAGACAACAAAAGGTAATGATGGCAAATTTTTGGTTTGGTATCCCACATCCTCACTAACATCAACATGCTCAGAGTTGCCCTAGGGGAAAAAGAAATTGAAGAAAAAAAGATTTATGCTTTACGTTTAGGGACATTGGTAGGGAATCCTTGTTGATCTAGATGCATCAATTGTTCAGGATCCTAATGGATGCACTTCTGGTTATTACGTCAAAAAATGGTCACACCCCTCCCCACCCTCTCTTCCTTCTGCTATGGTTGGGTTAGCTGTAAGCAAGAGGTTGTCAGAAAGCGACATCTTGTGGTCTTTGTGGGTCCTGCCTTCTGGCATACAGTACTAAGTTTTTCCAAGTTCTTTTGTCAAGGCACAAAGCAACGCTCCCTGCCCCAACCCCAGCATAACCCAAACAGGCAGGTTACTAATTTGACACCCTTAAAATCAATATGTCTTAAATATTCCTTTAACCAACGTATTTAGTGAAAGCATGAGAAAACTATTTTCTACCAACAAAATCATTTATTTGTATTCAGTATAAGAGTTTATTACATGCACTAATAAAACATTATACTTCAAGTTATTTAGAGTTATTTTTCCACCTGAAATTTTTCTTCTCTTACTACAGGATAATTTTACTTCTTTTATTAAGGAAGGAATAATTTGCATGAATATGGTTATACAGTTTTATTGAAAATATATTTAAAAATTTTTAGGCTTTCTGGTCAGCAAAACATCATATACTTCCTAACAAATCTATTTTTTTGAAGAATATCATTTTCAATTGATAATAAACCCAAAGAATTTATGTTTGACACATGATTTTCAAATACATATGTTTTAAGAAAATTAGGTTGATTTAAACAAGTCATTTGCAAGTGGGATTTCTCATTGGTAGTTCTTCCATAAATGTCAATTTAGACAAACCGATTATTGGAAACTGGAGGACAGAGAAACAATGTTTATTTTTGCATGAATACCTCATAGCATACCATGATAGCAGAGGCCAAGATGGGTTCCCCCAGCTTCCTGGCAGGATCATTGTGAGGAGTGACTGCTCCATCCGTCAAATCTTGCTTGACTGAACATAATGGAAATTTGGTTCCACATGTCAAGCACAGCGTTTAGTGATAGAAC